TAGATAGATAGATAGATAGATAGATAGATAGATAGATAGATAGATAGATAGATAGATAGATAGATAGATAGATAGATAGATAGATAGATAGATAGATACGGACGGACGACAATCTCCTGGAAAAGCCAAACTCACCGCTGCTGAATTGCATCTGTGTAAGCAATATCCAGCACTTTTCTCAACCAATCACAGATATGCGAGCTCTCCCCAGGGCAGTGTGGGAAGCCAAACACACCTGCAGCAGGAAGAGAGACGTTTAGAAAACCCTAATAAGGGCACACCTGGAATACTGCAACCAATTTTGGTCACCATACTACAAAAAAGATGTTGAGACTTTGGAAAAAGTTCAAGTTAGCAAGGAATGGGGTTCATGAAGTCCCCATTTTTCTAGGTATGCACAATTTATCCAATATTTGGCCCAACACATTTTTCTATTCTTTCCTTTTGAAACTGTGCAGAAAATTGTGCTCTCAAGAGTTCTTTACTGGTTTCCCACCAAACATCAGCAATATAATTTCAGGAGGTGGGATCACTAAAAAAAATTAATTCAGAGTCACATGTTGCCTAATTCTGGCCTAAACACACAGAAGCTTAGAAATGAAATTACATAGATGGGAAAAATTAAATTATTGCTGTAAGGGAGTAAATTCCAAGTATTCTCTGTCAGGAATTATTTATCAGAATTACTGGACTAGAAGACCTACAAGGTCCCTCCAAACTCTGTTATTCTGTTCTGTGTTCAGGATCTTTCAACTTAAAAAATAATAATAATTAAAATAGAGAAATCAGATTTTGTGTTTGCCAAGTAACGTTGAGAAATTAAAATCCAGTAAATTGAGTTTTAAATCAAAAACAGCAAGTTTGGACAAAGATCTCAGGGCCCACCCTAGTAAACCTGCAGTTCAGGTTTAACGCCCACTGGAGCAGAGTTTCTCCAACGGAATCCCATGGGAACTTGACAGGGATCCATGAGAGACTAAGAGGGAGGGACAGAGATAACACAGATACAGCCAGTTTTCTATCACCAGAGCTGTGCCTCTTAAGCACAAATTCTGGATTGGTGTCTTTTAAAAAAAATATGAACAAGTTTCACAACCTTCAAAAATTGGGAAAACCGTGAAATAAGACTGAGAAGCTGGAAATAGGGGTTTTCTGGTAGGGTTTCAGGAAACCTGTGAGCAACACACAGCCATCCAGACCCGCTTCCGGTACTTCTCGTAGGCCCATTTTTTGCCCTCCCCAGACTCCAGAGGCTTTCCTTGAGCCTCCAAGAGGGCGAAAACAGCCTCCCCAAGAGACCAGAAATAGACCCGTTTCTGAACTTCTGGGAGGTCCATTTTTCACCCTCACAAAGCCTTCACACAAGCCCTGCGCTTACCTGGCCTGGTGAACGGGCCACGTGGAGACTCCTGGGAGGGGAGGGGCAGAGTCAACCAGTCATTGTAACTACTGGTTCGGCGAACCAAATTAAAATTAACATTCAGTTCAATCGAACTGGTCCGAACCGGCTGAATCCCACCTCTGCAAGTAGCCTGTTTTTTACCTTTTTAAAGCTATGCTCTTCTTTGAAAAAAAAAGAGCTACCTTGTTGCTGACCTCCTATGGAAATCAGGTTGAACATAGGTGGAGATGGACATCTTTGCACCACCGCTCTCCTAAGGAGGGAGGAAAAAACAGATCATTACCCGAAAGACATCTTCCACCCAAGAACAAAACCCAGAATCCACCTTGTTATAATTTCAAGCTTTCTGGTACAGCATTAATCACTGGTATTGTGTGAGTTAGGACAGGGATGGGAATTGGTTCCAGAATATCGCCCCAGGTTGGGCAGGGATGGGAATTGGTTCCAGAATATCGCCCCAGGTTGGGCAGCATAAACTGTTGCTGGGTTCAGGGAATCCTGTTTGTAAAATAAGGCATGATTGACAGCATGAGCAGAAACCTGAAAGCTACAAATCATGCTTTAGAAACTACCATGGCTGGCATTAAGGTAAAGGTTCTACTCGCACATATGTGCTAGTCATTCCTGATTCTAGGGGGCGGTGCTCATCTCCGTTTCAAAGCCGAAGAGCCAGTGCTGTCCGAAGACATCTCCGTGGTCCTGTGATTGGCATGGCTAAATGCCAAAGGAGCATGGAACGCTGTTACCTTCCCACCAAAGTGGTCCCTATTTTTCTACTTGCATTTTTACGTGCTTTTGAACTGCTAGGTTGGCAGAAGCTGGGACAAGTAACAGGAGCTCATCCCGTTATCATCACTCTGTTACGTGGCACTAGGGATTCGAACTGCTGAACTGCCGACCTTTCTGATTGACAAGCTCAGCATCTTAGCCACTGAGCCACCGCGTTCCTTGGCTGGCATTGTGGTTTGATTTAATGAGGGGAATGATCAACAGAATCCCAAACAGATCTACTCTGAGGTGTGATGGCTCTCCAAGAGATCGGTTCATCATCTGCTTCTTTTTAATGGGAGATATTAAGGCCTGAATCCGAGATTCTCAGATACGCAACTAGGAATTCTACCCCTAACCCGAGGGTATTTCATTCACTGACTTCACTCCAGGGTCTTCTGTCATTTCCTATTTGAAATACTTACAAGAACTGCCCTCCCTGTGAAAAGCCCATGGCATTGTAGCCACCTTGAAGATTAGGATCTTCAGAAAGCTGGTCACACACTTTCTTGACTTGATTGTTGACATTCATGAAGAAGCTGTTCTCCATGTCCTAAGGAAAAACAAGAGGTTGATGAAGAGTGGCTAGCCAGCTGTGTGGCCTTCAATAGGCTGGCCTTACGGATAGGATAGGAAACCTGTTCAGAAAGGTTTGATTTCCAAAATCCTAGAGAACAGGTCTATCAAGAGCTACCAGCCTTGATGACAAGGCGTAGTCTCCAAATACACTTCTAACACCTGGTGCATGGGAGCAACAATGGGAGAAGAGGACTGCCTTTGTCTCATATTGCTCAGCTTCCCAAATACAGCTGGTGCACTACTTTAGTAGAAGAACAGAAGAAGAACAGGCAGAGCTGCAGGGAGGACGGAGTTAAACATGTCATCAGTTTAGAGTCCCTGTGTTACCACAAGCGTAGCAAGGCCAACCCTTTCCGAATTCAGCTGATCCTTATCTGGTGCCAATATACTGTAAGTGTTGAACTTTAGTTGATCAGATTCTTGTGTATAAGCTTCAATAACCTTCTATACTGCAACCAAGCCAATAGTCCTGATTCTTTGTACCTGACACCTTATGACAGAAGGTAGGTGAGTCTTGGCTTGAATTGGTGGGTCTACTCTCAGGTTCCCAAACTTGAAGGTTCTTTATTTATGGATACTTCTCTCTCTTGGTATGATGCTGACAGCTGGTGCACCCAATCAACTAGAGGTGCACAAACTGTTTTGAATTCAAAATACCCCCAGCTCAAGTACAAATCAGCACGTGTTCCAGCACCCTCCAGTCACTCTGCATCCAAGACTTCGACTCTTCCTTTTAGAAAAGGTCTGAAAACATCTAATTCATATGTCTCTATGCTGAAAGCATGCGTAGCATGAATCCACTCACATCAATTAAACTGTTGCCTATCTTCAGAGACAGCACATAAATTCCTGGGATTTTCTCTTCCACCATTTTTTTAATATATCCCATGCTTATGGGGTTGCAACAGCTATCTCCTATAATGTAAAAAAGAAGAGAGAGAAGTTTAGAAAATCAGAGTGTCTGTCTGTCTAGGGCCCTTAATTATTAATAGCATTAATGCATTTAGTCAATTACTGTAATAAGCAAATATATTTATCAGCACAAATACAACACAAATGTAACAAAGGCAACAGTAAAAATATTGGGTTTCTGTCTGGATGGTCTCTTGTGACGAGCCGATAGACAGAGAAAGGAAGCAGTAGGCTTCCTCCCATATTTGGGCATATATATCTCCAGTTCAGAGATTCTTCTAAAATTCAATCAGATAGTTCAAATATGAAGCAGTAACATTGCTAGTTCTGAATAAACTTAGCTGGTTTCTTGCTACCTGTATGTATGTGTAATAAGTATGTAAGTGCAATAAATTCCATCTTAAAACAAGAGGCTATGAAAACGAAGGATGAACTTTTGAAGTATTGCTTCTTTAAAGAAATCAGTGGATTCGATCTAGTCTTCATGATACCTATCTCTTCCAAATCCAGGCTGCTACATTTCTGTCCATCTCAGAACTTTTTTTTTTAATTAAAAAAAATCCTAATTTCACAAAATGGCCTGGTTGTTGGACAAGCTTCTCCACACCCTGAATTTTGTCATGAAAGGGTATGAGGTGTCCTTGACACTCTCTGAGCTTGGTGGAGGTTTTGTAGATGTTTCATTACCAAACTAGGTAATAGCATCAGTGCTGGGTGCTTGCACTGACGAAATTATCTAGCTGAATAATGAAATGTCTGTCTGCAAGAAAACTACCAAGCTCAGAGAACCAAGGACCCCACAATTCAACCCTGAGCTACAAATGTTCTCTTCTAGACTATTGCAAAGAGACCGTTGTGTATTAAAAACAAAACTAAAAGTCAAATGACTGCCTGGACCAACACAACACTTCCCAATATGAAGAAAACTCAACAGGAGTACCACAAGCACACTAAGTCCAGGTCTTAAAAGTGTTTTCAGAGAAGCAACTGGAGGGGGGGAGAATAGTTTTCCTGAGAGCAGAGACTGGGACCGTGATGGTGAACTTATGGCACACATGTGAAAGGTAGCATGCAGCTGATGGCACATAAGCCATTGCTCCAGTTCAGCTCTGTTCTACACGCGTCCATGCCTCCTACCGGCCAGCTGGTCTTTGGGTCTCTGCCATGCATGCGTGGGGCACGTATGTGTGTGTGTGGGGGGGTGTAAACCCAGTTCTTACACACGCACCCAATGATCACATGCTGGACGTTTAGCAACTGGCATGTATCCTTGCGCCCTTTGCAATGTCCTACGATCACATGAGCACAATTTATGACATGTTTTGCCAGAAACCAGCATTCCTGCAAGAAACATGCATTGCATAAACAGGGTTGCTTAACAACTGCTCTGTTTTCTTAACGTTCAGGATAATTTGCTTAACCACAACCCCCCCAAAAATCATGAAATTGAATGTGGGTTAGGTAATTAACACTCTGCATAACTATTATTCATCCAGGCTCAATTACAGTTATGAGTCAGCTTGTACGCTAAAAGGAAAGGCTAACCTTCCATTTTACAATTCATAAACACTCCCACATTTCATATTTTATATGCCCCTCCCCCCAAAGATAAAGGAGTCAACTCTTTTGCTGCGAAAAACAAGAAACTGTTTTAGAAACAGGAACTTCCTTTAGTCATCATGGCTTTCATTTTTATACCAGCCAGACAATTTCTACAACAAGAAACCTCAGCTGCTTTCATATTTCAGCCTCCAAATTCCACTATGTGATTCTTGTAACTAAAATATTTTCACAACAGAGCTAGTATTTGATTCCAACCTTGGAGGATTTGAATCTATTAAGTGCATACCACCAATATTATATATTAAGTTAGTGCTTGCCACATGAAACTGACTATTCATATCAATTCAGAAACTCCCGTGAACTCAAAGGCATTTATGTTAATTCCAAATAAATATGTAAAGGATGTTGCCACAATTAATTTTCTACCAATGAGCAATTAAGTGAGCACAAATAAATTCTTGCCGAGGCACCACCATTCTTCCACTGCTAAGCATATGGAGAGAGAAAAAAAGGAAACAGACCATTAAACGATATGTGTCATCACGATATGTGTGCCTCTTACAGAATCACAATATATAAAATGAGTAGAACAATAAAATTTAATTTCACTTTGCAAAACCCTTTTTTTCCTTTAAAGGTTGAGGAAGTGTAACTAAAAGTCACCTCCAATTTTATCACCCCAAACAAAACCATAGGAGGGAGGTTGGGTGGGTGCAACTGACTAACCTTAAACCATTCTAGAATGCCACTGCCAACGAGTCTGGATATCTGTCCAGTACATTATGCCCAATGTTTTTACCACACACATATGGGACTATGTGTAGGACAGGGTAGAGTGCCGTACTTTGGCCAGGGTGTCCAATGTTGACAACTTAAAAAGGGGTGAACTTCAACAGCCAGAATTCCCCAGCCAGCTATGTAGGGTCTGCTTGCCCCATAATCTACAGGTAAATCTTCGAGCTAGGATCACATTTGAACCCAAAACTTCCATTGCTAAGTGAGACTGTTGTTAAGTGAGTTTTGCCTCATTTTACGACCTTCCTTGCAGCACTGATTAAGTGAATCCTGCAGTTGATAAGTTAGTCCCACCAGTTGTGAAGTGAATCCAGCTTCCCTGTGGACTTTGCTTGTCAGAAGGTTGCAAAAGGGGAACACATGACCCGGGGAGACTGCAACCGTCATAAATATGAACCAGTTGCCAAGCGTCTGAATTTTGATCATGTGATCGTGAGGATGCTGCGAAGGTCCTAACTTTGAAAAACAGTCATAAGCCACATTTTTCACCGCTGCTGTAACTTTGAACAGTCACTAAATGAATTGCTGTAAGTCGAGGACTACCTGTAATAGAAGAGGCTAGGGAACCCCTGAAGGAGATTAGCAGAGATGGAAAACCCACCTTCCCTGGGGAGGGGGTATCACTCTATATCAGTGGTCACCAACTGGTGGTCCGCGAGAAAATTTTGGTGGTCCGCAGAAAAATTATTTTCATTTTTTATATTGCACTAAATACTATTCATCTTTTTTTAAAAGTTCATATTAGTGGTCCTCGGGATTTAAAATTATGAATTTAGTGGTCCCTGAGGTCCGAAAAGGTGGTGACCCCTGCCCTATTTTGCAATAACCACGGACCCACCCACCCAATCAGATGTGCCTCCATCCTGGGGGGGGGGGTGTTGTCCAGTGGCCAAGGCGTTCAGATTTGCCTGACTGGCACGCTAGACTTCACCAATGGTCCGATGAACAAGATTTACTGGTTCCTACTGGTTGGTTTTCGGTTTTAAAGTTGTTTTAACGGAGACCCATCCGGTGACTGCAAACGCCTGGAGGCGGCAGACCAAGATTTTATGCATAAAATTATGGCTAACGAAAGTAAGGCTTGATTATAAGGTAACCCCGACGTAGAGAAGCGTTGGAGAAGCCCCATCATCTCCAGCCTTGACTGCGAAACAGAAGCAAAACCAAGCAGATCCGGCTTCCAACCATGCTGCAGGTGGAAGGGACGAGCCCCACCCCACACCGAGGCCCTTTGAATTTCCCCCTCCGCAAAACCTCGCTCACCCATGCCATGCCAGATGACCAACGGCACCGGACCGGCAGCGGTCCCCGAGCCCCGACGGTCCAGCCCGCCCAGTAACAGGAGCCCCGCAAGCAGCAGCCTCGCGAGCGGCGCCATCCTCCAAGAATCATGTGACCCGCCGCCCGCTCGGGTATCATGTGATAGCAGCGCCGGCTTGGCCTCGAGGGGGGAGAAGAGCCTCACTTTCCCCCGAGGCACTCTGGGAGTTGTAGTTTCCAGGCTTTGCCCTGGGAAACAGCTTTTTCGTCGAATAGAATAGAATAGAGTAGAATAGAATAGAATATGGAATGAAGAATGGAATAGAATAAAACAGAATATGGAATGAGGAATGGAATGGAATGGAATATGGAATGAAGAATAGAATAGAATATGGAATGAAGAATGGAATAGAATAGAATATGGAATGAAGAATGGAATAGAATAGAATAGAATATGGAATGAAGAATAGAATAGAACAGAACAGAAAAGAACAGAAGAGAATATGGAATGAAGAATAGAATAGAACAGAACAGAAAAGAACAGAAGAGAA